GTGCTTCCTATAAGCTTGCTAATTGACTCCTGCAGTTCCAACTATGGGAACTGCGGCTCTTTCCCACTGCACCACACATGACAGTCACCTGCTGAGCTTTGTAAAAATGCAGAAACGTCAGCTACACCCAAACTTCAAATGCAGTGGATCTGGGGCATTTTAACAAATACTCCAGGCTGTTCTCTCATGGGCAATAAAGGACTACACTGAGCAAAATCTGTATATCAGATACATAATTTTAATGCCTGTTTTTCTACCACCATAATATTTGTACATTTTCTGCATTGTGATGAAACAGAGCAATACAGAATCATTTTTTAGATTTTATTTTGTTCTGCTTGGTGCATGCATTTTTAACTTCCAGGATTAGAGGAACTTGCCTATGACATAGTTTATATATATACTTACACAAATATATACGTGTGTGTGTGTGCATATACACACTATATATATACACACTATATATACATATGTATATATGTATATATACATATATATTTATATATATACATATATATACACACTATATATACATATGTATATATGTATATATATATGTATATATAGTGTGTGTATATATGTATATATGTATATATATATGTATATATAGTATGTATATGCACACACACACATATATATATTTGTGTAAGTATATATATACTTACACAAATGCCAGAAAAAGTCCTGCCATTGTTAATATAATGAGAATGGTTTGTGCAATATCAATGCAACCTGGCAGCCAAGGGGGGTGGACTGGAATGCACATGCATGAACAATAGTGGGGATGGTACACTCCACTGAGTAAGCATGTATACTGTGTGTCCATCATATTAAAAAATGACTGAACAAGTAGAGCAACAAATCTGCATTAAATTTTGCATTAAACTTGAACTCCATGGAAACTATTCAGATTCAGAAGGCCCCAGCTATGGGCAACTGGTGAATGGCAGCTTCATCACAATATGCATCACGTCTCATGCAAAGATTTTTAATGAAACATCAAGTCACCCAGGTGACTCAGCCCCCCTACAGTCCAGATTTGATGCCATGGGACTTCTGGTTTTTCCCAAAACTAAAATTACCTTTGAAAAGGTAGAGACATTAAAGAAAATATGATGGGGCAGTTTATGGTGATTGGGAGAACTATGTGAGGTCCCAAGCTGCCTACTTTAAAGGTGACTGAGGCATCATTGTCTTATGTACAGTATTTCTTATATCTTGTATCTTCTTCAATAAATGTCTCTATTTTTCATATTACATGGCTGGATACCACCTTCTGGATAGACCTCACACATATTTGATTTGCTGATTTCAATACTTCTGAGCAACATAGATAAATAATGAAGAATCAGTTTCATAGTTTGGCATTACCTTCTGTGATACTTACTTCACTTCAATATCACCTAAGAGACCACTAATGTCCATTATGAGGATTACATGTACTTCTGGGGCTCTAGCTTTCACATGTTAATAGTTTGTGATGCTTTGTTTGGTAATACAGTTAGCCTACAAAGCCATCTTGTGAGAGATAAGTAAAATAGTGAATTCATAAGAATGCTAACACTTGTATGCATGCCTTTGTGTGTTTGTGCCCATGTGTTATAATAGTATGAATATTGATTACTGACATATGCATATTATGAGAAACCACAACTATGGAGATGTTGCCTAGAAATAGAATTCTATGTAGACGTGTGTACCTGCTGACTCTAATATAGTGGTACCTCAATACTCATTGTTAATTCTTTCTGGAACTCTTGACAAGTGCCAGAACCAACAAATAATTGAACAATGAAACATTTTCCTTATGAGGTGGCATTGTCACTCACAAAAGTTTTTAGCAAGTGTGAAGAGTCCCAAGCAAGCTCTGAGTGCTGAGGCATTTTTCTTTTCTCATTAAAATGTGATGAGTGCAGGGTTTGACAAGTTCTGAAGCTAACAAGTACCGAGCTATGACTGTACTGTTAATTTGTTACAAAGATGCTTTCAATTATTGCATGTACAAGTGTATGTTAGTACGGTGACTTGCTCCAGAGGCTTTGGTTTTAAGATGCTTCTAACGGTTAATACTCCTATAAATTTGGAATTGGGTTTATGTCAGTGCTTGCTAGTTCTTTCCTAAAATTCCTTGCTTATCCACATATAACTGAGGAATAAAATATTAGACTGACTTTTCCTTAGGTACCACTTACTTAGGATATTTCGTTTGACTACATAGCCAGGATCTCACCTGCCTATGTCTATCCCTGGGTTGTAGGAGACTTAGAGAAGTTTCAAGGGAAAACTTTATTTTTAAAGGGCTTTGTGTCCTGGCTCCTACATCCAGTTGTTTTTTCCTTATGCTTATGTTCGACTAACATTTTCAAAGCTCTAGCCAGTCCTGGTTCCATGACCATTTCATGGGATCATGAAATGGTCATGGGATCATTTCATATGGAATCAGCACTTTGTGAGATAGTAAGGCATAGTGGAGAGAGTCTGATTTTACAGTCACGCTGACATGAGCTCAAACGCAGTTGACCTTAGACAAATGGCCCCATTGCTCTGAACATCATTATCTTCATCTATCAAATCACAGTGATTTTCAGCTCATCAGTTGCATTCTGAATTGAGTTCACACACATAAAATGACTAGTCATAAGTGTTTTTTTCCATTTGTGAATCTCCAGACTTTTACTAACAGTGAGCCCTCTAAGTCAGCACTCTGCAAACCGCTGTAGTATTTTCCTAATGGGATTTCCTGGAAGCTACCAACAATTTTCCTGTTTGACCATGTTATGATATATTTTGGACATGATAAAGACACTTACAGCTTTTTAAATATTTATGTCCTCTATGCTGTACATGCCAACTGTGTTTGCTCTCTCCATTTCTTTATGTGCCAAGGAGACAAGCCAAACAGCGTGGAGGAAAATACTGTTGGGACACAAAGTAACCTTGTCTAATGTGTACTCTGTGCAGATGGAACCTTAATGGAAAAGAGTGGAGACTGCTCCCTGGTTGCACAGTGATACCTTGATTAACAAATCACACGGGAACAAAGCTCCTTTATAAGCAATTCAGCTGAGTAAATTTTTATTTTAAAACTTCATGAATCAAATGAAATAGTGCTGGCTGTGTCATATATTTCCAGTAATATTCTGGGTAAGCTACACTTGTGCACAGGAAAGAAATACCTCCTGACAGAGTGTCTATTATTATAAAGGTGACAAGGCGATTCTACGAAAAACTATGAAGTGACTTTAGATAAACATTTTTTTTGCTATTATAATCACTATATTCCCTCCTCCACAAACAACCAGCCATAGATTGTTATCCTCAGAATCTTGCTGCTCTCAAAAATTCCTCCCTTTAAAAACAGGAGCCAAAATGATTCACACTTTGAGTTAAAAGTTCATGTTACCTTATATTGGTATTACTTAGTAATGTCTCAATGCTGGCTGAAAATTAGTGCTACTGAAAGAGATTCTGACATAATTGGTCTGAGGTGGGGCCCAGAGTTTGCCATTCTAATACAGATTCCAGGTTGAGAACTACAGCTTTAACACTAAGCTGTATTTTCATATCATGGCCTTTTATTTCATAATACCCATGTTTACCTAATTGTAGATTGTAGAACACTTAGTTCAAAGCTACTTGGAGTACCTTTAAAATGTAGGTTCCTGTGGCCTCACCACAGAATCAGCACTAATGTATCTTGAAATATGTGGTACACATGAGTAAATGTGTGTATGTGTGGTATGTGTGCATGTGTGAAGGGGGCCAAGGCAAGAGCTACAATGTTCATGCTTAACCAGCATTCAAACTGATTCTGAGTCACTTTAAGGCTGAATAACTCCTATTTTATTTATAACCTCCAACTCATGATATTTCAACTATCAGCAATGCCTTTTAATTCCTCTTTGCTGGTTGAACATTCCCACAAAGTGGTTGATGAAGGGGTATTTGTATGTTTAAAGTCTGGAAAAAGTCCAGCCATTGTTAATATAAAGAGAACGGTTTGTGCAACATCGATGTAACCTGGCAACCAAGCAGAGGGGACTGGAATGAGCATGTGTGAACAATGACAACTTCATTCTACTAGTCAGCAAGGGTAGTAGATGCCATTGAGTGAGCATGTGGACTGTGTGGCAATAACATTCAAAATGACTGAGCAAGCAGAACAATGAATCTGCATCAGATTTTGCATAAAGTTTGAACATTAGTCCATTGAAACTCTTCAGATGATTCAGAAGACTTTGGTGATAATGCAGTGAGTGATTGGCAGTTTCATCACGACAGTGTGCCTGCTCATGCATCACGTCTCATGCAGAGTTTTTTGGTGAAAACAACAAGTCACCCAGGTGACTCAACCCTACTGTAGTCCAGATGTGGTGCCCTGTGACTTCTGGTGTTTCCCAAAACTAAAATCACTTTTGAAATAAAAGAGATTTCAGACCATTGATGAGAGTCAGGAAAATACTCCAGGGCAACTGATGGCAGTTACAACGAAAGATTTTGCAGTGTCTTGAATAGTGGAAGAGATACTGGGAGAACTGTATAATGCCCAAAGCATCTACACTGAAAGAGACTGAGGCATCATTGTCCTATGTACAATGTTTCTTGTATCTTGTATCTTTCTCAGTATTTTTCATATTAAATGGCTGGATACCTTCTGGACAGACCTCATTGTATATAATATTCTAAACAATACTATGTATAATAATTATAGTAATTACACTCAATCTAAATAAGGTCAATTTTATTTGTAAAAGTAAAGAAAAATGAAAGTTAGACCTTTGAATATTTTTTCTAATACATACATTTTGAAGTATGAGTATATAAATGTTAACTTCATGTAAATACTCATTAATGTGTTATCTTATTATCTAACCACAGATTTTTAACATATACATAAAATTACAAGTCAAGAGCTTGTAGTCACTGTTGAGAAATGTGGAATCTCAATCTCTCTGTCTCTTTCTCTCTCTTCCTTCCTCCTCCCCCCACTCCCACTGTAGCTTCAGAAGAAGAAGAACCAACTTCAGCAGGTAAATTTCCTATTCTGTAAAGATTATTCCTATTTAATTTAATGAGCTTAATAATGGAGAAACAACACTTTGAAAGACATATCTGAAAGTTTCAATCAGAAAGCTGGCACAGTTTTATTTATTTATTTGTTTTTATTGGACCCACTGTCCCAGACTAAATGATTGTGGAGTTTTAAATAGAAATAGAAAAGAACAGAGGAAAACATAACACAACATATCACATCGACATTAAACTATGATGAAAATTGAAACATTCAGCAAAATGCTAAAAAACAATTAAATGAGAAGAAAATACTAAACATAAAATGCAGGAAAAATAATAAAAATGGGGAGAATAAAGTAAAATGCTAATGTATAAATTGTGGATTTAAATGATGATTTTTAAAACAAATGTATGCAAGATTTACCTGAAGGTAGAGGTCTCTAGTAGATGCTAGTACTGAATGAATGACTTATTTAATGCTTGCAAAGTGTGGGTATTATGGGCCTGGAAAGCTTCCATGGCGACCTTTATGGACATTTTGTAACAAATCTAGGTTGTCTTTCCCCCACAGGTACACAGAATTGGATTAATTATAATTCAATAATTATGACAAATTCTCATTGTTCAGAAATATTTTTAAAGAAAATAAGTTTTATACAGAAAAAGATTTAATGTGAAAAAGTCAAGAAGATAGAAAATATAACTCTGAGAAAGTTAATGAAATGTTAGCTGTTTCACTTGTGTTATAATGTTGCAAAATGATAGGGCCTTTTCTCCTCATGACAGAGCATATTTGATTTGCCTTATATTTAGAATTATTATCACTTCCATCATTAAAACACAAGAAGTGACACCCTTTCTCTTCATATGATTTGGTTTAGTATATTTTCATGTTTCATTCAGCCTTGAGCTATTTTTTCAAACATGCCTTTTTCTTCTTATTTGAACCTCTAAACTATCATCAGAAAGCAAGTACATTTTTTGTGTTGAGTTGTAAAAAGGGTGCAAAATGTGTCACATCCCATTTCTCCTCCTGGGAATATGAGCCCCTTAGTGAATATGGAGCATCATTTTCAGCTCTGAATGTTAAGATGGGATGCATTAGCCTAAAGGAACATGTTTTCTAGCAACTGAGTTCTAGGGCAGTTTCACCTAACACCTGCTTCTGTAACTATTAAAAGCTTCTTTTATCTTACATTGAATTTTATGTTTAGACTTTTAAACAACTTATTTCATTGAGTATAAAAATACATCTATGAACTATACAAGAAATTCCTTCCAACTAGGTTATATCCCAATATCTAATTATAAACTAATGAGACTCGTATTTTTAAAGCTGCTATAACAGATAGTACGCCTCCAAATGAATCACCTTTAGAGGTGATAAATGCAATCCAATTATGTTGCTATTGCTCAACTAATATTTCAAAACTTGCTTTTGAAATTTTCTTCAGAATTTATTTATGAGGTTACAATATCAATTATTTCCTTATAGTTACAGAACTGTGCTACTGAATTCATCAGACTTCATCTAATATGTCCTTCAAAAACAAAAATTTGCAAATATTAAGAATGTGTGTGTGTGTGTGTTTCTGTGGGTATGAAATGCAGATCAGTTTGTAACTTTAAAATCAAATCAGTTTACAACTTTTGAAAAGTGATCACATTACTTAAATTTCATAAAATAATACTGTTCAATAAAGTTAAGTAAGTGTGCCTGATACTGTCATGTTGGATAAATCCAATGGTCATTTATCATTTATTTAAATTTTATAATCATGAGAATCTTCATAACAGGTTATAATAATACTATTGTCTATGTCATTTAAAAATTAGGACATTTACTTTAAAAAACTGTTACAAATGAACTATATCTATAGTTCATTTCAACCTATATGGAATTCAATTCATTCACTATAAGGTATATTAAACCAGGCTTATCCATATATACATTTCCTCATTCCTTCTAATTTACTTGATCTTATTAGTTATTATTTTAATTCTCTGGACATACCACTTATCTACCAAACTGATAAAATCATGAGAACTAAAACAATGGCAAGAAATAATAGGAAGACTTGACTTTGGGTGGTAAACACACAGTGCAATATACAGATGATGTATCATCACATCATACATTTGAAACCTATACAATTTTATTAACCAATGTTACTTCAATAAAATTTAAAAACAAGGGCAAATTGGAAAATGTTATTGAATAAGATCAAAATCAGAAAATAACACAGTGGAGAGCTTGTAGCTATACAGAAATCAGTGGTAATAGTTAAAATTACAATTTAACTGTTTTTGTTCACATTATGTAAAAACAAAGGTTTAATTTTTTTCTGTCTATATTGCCTAACGGGGAAATTTTTATTGCTTTAATTGTTTTTAGTATCAAAGAAAGATACTAAATTTGGGTTTATATAAAAATAGCTATTATTACTGAATTAAATCAAGAAAAATTATAATCTGAAAAATGAAATTTCAGATGAATGTAAATGGTAAAATCTTTTTAGCAATCAGCTAAATTAAAATAGACACCTACAAAAGCCATAATGCTCTTCATATGTTTATGAAATTAAAATTTCATAATTTATTGAATACACAATTGTGTTTATGGCCTATTACCATTGGAGCCCAGTTCATTACAATGACAGAGGTCACCCTCTGGCTACAATAATTTACATAATAGACTTCTTTTGACTTCCGTGATGCCCACAAGATATGAAGAAAATGGTGACTTGGCATACCAGAGCTTCAACATTCTCATGTGTTCCATCCAAATCTTTTAATATGTTTCATCTTTTAAATGCTCAGTTTAGCCATTGAGGAAGTACACCTAAGAACACTAGTAATCTACACACATATAGCATAACATTGGCTAATACTGGTAAAGATTTTAAGCTATGGGTTTATATATAAAAATACAGCTCTAAGCATAAATATGTATAGTTTCATAAACAAGCCTTACATAGGGTTTTATATACACATATAGTTTAAAGCAAATGTGTTGTATATGTGTACAGCTAAACACAGGACAAAGTGATTAGGTATTGTTCTCTAACTTTTGAAATATTCAATTTTAGTTCTATTAAAACATTACTTCTATTTACAGTACATTTTGTGATTTTATCAACTTTCCTACAGAATTATCTTAGATCTCTTCCCTGTTTTCTTGTGGAGGTTAATTCTTCACGGCTAAGTGTGTTCAATTATTCTACAGCTCACACATTTTGAAAAAAAATGATATTTTATCATATTATTCTCTAATGAACAAGAGTTGCTTTTGCATTATAATCTTATTGCTTTATTTCCTTAGGGTTCAGAAATTGAGCTTCACATTCCTGATTTTTACATTTGTTATAAATTTTCTCTATTTTATATGGAAATACATATTTCCCCTCTAGTGCCTGGAGAGCAACTTTACTAATTATTTTATCAAGTATATTCTTGTTCATAAATATATGCTAAACAGGCTTAAGTATTAAAACTTAATATGTAAACCCCCCAAATTTTTTTGCTCTGATCTCTGAAAAACAGAAACAAGTCATTATTTGCAGATTCTCATTGGAACAGGGAAAATGTCTTTGCTTCTGAAGATTCAGCTTTGATCAGTTTTGTAAAAAGACATAGTGAAAAGACCAAATAGTGTCTACATTTTTTCATTGAAACAAAACTTCCTTTTTGGAAGTATGTGATAGTGATTTTGAAACATGAGAAAAAGAAAGTCATTTAAATTTATGTTATATGTAGATAGTATTTTTTCATATTTTTACTGAGATAAAATTAACTGTAGTACATAATTGTTGTATCAGCAGGGAATTTTGAAGATTTTATACTCCATATCTTTCCCTTTAATAAGTTTAAGTATTAAACTAATAAATGAGGGTAAATAATATGTTTATACCTTTACTTGTATATATATATACATATATATATATATATGAATATAGATGTAGTTATATAACCTACCATCTTTTCCCAAAAGTGTAAAACTGGACTTGAAATAAACAGTTAAAAAGTTTAAGATCTTCTTATCAAGAAATATATACAATAACAAATCCCTCATAATAAAGCTTGAAGCTATTGTTTCTTCAGTAATGTATGTTAATATCTAACAATGCATATATTTAAAAAATAGTCATGTGACATGACTATTTATAACAGAAAAGCCACTTTAATGCTTAAAAAATAAGGGATTTTATTGTCTCACAGAATTTAAAATGAGTAACTCAATGATGTCACTTAAAATCTGTTTTTTGTTTTTCATTCCCTGATTTTTCTTTTCTGTCTTCTGTGGTGTGCAATTTATCTTCATCTTCACACAGGTTTCCCTTGTGGTAGTGATATATCTGCCAACAGCTGCTGTGTCTGTATGCATCTTTATTCATGTCCAGAGAGGACAAAGAAGTGACATTTGTTCCCCTGCCTTCAAAGCAAGTGTCCTGAGATCCATTCTAATTGGACAGGCTTAGATCCCTTCTGCTGATGTTAAACAACCAGCCAGTCAAGACCCTCCCCTGGAGCAAGAGGTGGATTTTAGCTTTCTCTCAAGAGAGAAAGCCATGTGGTTGAGGGGCAGGGTACTCTTTAGGAATGGAAAGAGTGAAATGCATATGAGGTGGATGATTAATAAAGCTAATAGGAAGGAACCATTATAACACCCCATCACTGTTTAGTATCTTCTTAGTTTTTATCCTACAGCTCGATATGTTTTTCATATTATTTTATAATTTTTCATTGAACTTATTGTGGTGACACTGGTTAACAAAATTCTCTAGGTTTCAGGTGCACGGTTGTACAACACATTATCTGTACACTGTGTTGTGTGTTCACCACCCCAAGTTGAGTCCTTGTCCATCACAATTTATACCCCCTACACCCTTCTCCAGCTCCCCAACCTCCACCTCTGCTCCCCTGCATTCACCACACTATTTTCAGTATCCATTTTCTCTTTTTTTCTTTTTTTGCTCAATCACTCTACCTCCCCACCCAGACCTCCTCCCCAAAAGCT